GACCTCTACAATGAAACTTATAGAACACTGAATAAAGAACCTGATAAGTCCTCAGAAGATGGAAAGATCTCCCATGTTCTTGAATAGGTAGAATTAATATTGTCAAAATGGCCAGATTGCCAGGAGTTATCTACAGATTCAATGTGATCCCAATCAAAATACCAATGACATTCTTCACAGAACTATAAAAAACAGTCCTTATATTCATATGGAAGAATACAAAACCCAAAATAGTGAAAGCAATATCCTGAACAATAAGACTGAAGCTGGTGCCGTCACAATACCTGCTCTCGTATTATATTGCAGAGCTATAATAACAAAAGCAGCATGGTATTGGCATAAAAATAGTCATGAAGACCAATGTGATAGAGTAGAAGACACACAAAAATCAACATATATCCAATCATCTGATCTTTGACAAACATGCCAAAAACCTACATTGGAGAAAATATAGCCTTTGTAATGGAAAAACTGGATATCCATATGTACACGAATGAAAATAGATTCCATCTCTCACCTTGCCTGACAAAATGAACTCAAAGCAAACCAAAGACCTAGGAAATATACTGGAAATGCTGAATTGCTAGAAGAAAATGTTAGGGAAAACATTCCAACATATTGGTGTAGGCACCCACTTCCTTAAGTTCAAGAAACAAAACCAAAAATCAATAAGTGGAATGACTTCAAATGAAAAAACTTCTGTACAGGAAAGGGAATAGTGAAGACAAGATCCAAAATCATGGGTGAAAAATCTTGCCAGCTACTCTCCCAACAGGGCATCAATTCCAAAATATATAAAGTATATGTACATACCACCAAAAAGATCAAATAAACCCAGTCAACAAAAGGGCAAATGAACTAAACAGATATTTCTCAAAAGAAGAAATACAAATGGCCACAAAATATATGAAAAGAATGTTCAACATTCTTAGCAATCAGGGAAATATAAATCAAAGCTACATTGAAATTTTGTTTCCAGTTAGAATGGAAATCATTAAGAATATAAATAACAAGAAATGCTTCCAAAGATGTGGGTGAGGGTATATTCTGACAGCTATCCCACTCCTTGGTGTTTATTCAAAAAAAGTACAATCAGCCTTCTGTAGGGATATATGCATATCAGTATTTGTAGCAATGCAATTCACAATAGCTAAGTTGTGGAACCAACCTAGGTATCCCTCAATAGATGAATGTATAAAGAAAATGTGGTGTACATACACAATGGAATTTTACTCAGCCATAAAGAAGCATTAAAGTATGTAATTTGCTGATAAATGGATGGAACTGAAAAACATCATCCTAATTGGAAAAAGCCAGACTCAAAGTCAAGGGTCGAATGTTTTCTTTCACATGCAGAAGCTAGGGAGAAATAAGGGATTTTTTAAAATGGGGATTTCATGAAAACAGAAGGGAGAACAGTGCAGCAGAGGAAGGAGGCTTCAGGGGGAGGGAGGATGATGAGTAAGGGAGGGAACTGTGGAAGAAATTGACCAAATTGTGCTATGTGTATGTGTGGATATATCACGATGAAGTCCTCTTTTATGTGTAACTATAATGTACCAATTTTAAAATAAATTAATAGAAGGAAAACCAATGGAGTAGAGGAAGGGGGTCAGGGGGAGGAAATAAGGGAGAAAAGAGGGTACTTCTGGTGATTGAAATGGAACAAATACTTACATGCATTTATGAGTATGTCAAAATGAACCCCAAAATTGTATAAAAGTATAATGCACTAATAAAAACATAAAAAGAACAAAACCAAAACATTAGTGTGCATATGGGAAAGTATTCTAATTGAACCAAAACATTTTTCAGTGCAATAGTCTGATTCTGATTTTTTAAAAAACTTTTTTAGTTGCAGATAGACTCAATACCTTTATTTTATTTATTTATTATTTTTATGTGGTGCTGAGGATTGAACCCAGGGCCTCACCGTGCTAGGTGAGCGTTCTACCACTGAGCCACAACCCCAGCCCTGATTCTCATTTTATAACACCACATTCCTATGACTTTCTGAATGAGTACATTGGAAAATGGCAATCAAAATTATTTCTGCAAATACATGTAACTTAAGACAATAACCCACATGATTTAGTCTGTGAAGGCAAGATATGGCTCAGATCCTAGAGCAGTGTACCTTCAAGGCAATTGAAATGTTAGTACCTTTAGGGCAGCACTAGATAAAAAATTACCATGATTTCTAAGGTAGTGATTTAAGAAAGCTATCTTCTTTTGAATAAAAGACCTTTTCCTGCCCATATTAATCACAAGGCAAAATTAAAGGTCTCCTTTTTGAAGGTGATGGGATTTAAGCAACCATCCCATGGGTGGACTTAAGAGATCTGCCTCCAGGTAAATTTAATCTGTTAAATATTGTTGGTTGATCACAAAAGTGCCCTAAAAATCTAAATGTAATTCAAAGGTCCCAATTTCTCCACCCTTTGACAGAGGCTTTCAACAGGTATAACACTCTGGCAAATCTTCAAGTAGGGTGACTAACTGGCCCAATGTGACTGTAACTGCGAAGTTTGTGAAAACATAATATGAACAGACATAAAACCAGAACATTCCAGTCAAACCACAGTGAATTGGTCACCCCACCAAATCTCAGCCTCCTGGACCCCACTTTTTCAGAAGTCTAATTGGGAGAATATTCTCATGGAATGCTTGGCTCTACTAGAAAGCATTGCATCTTTCAATGAGACAGGTAATGCTGCCATTCTTCAAATATGAGGAGCTGCCACTCCTTCCCTGGACAGCCCAGGTTTCCTCTAAGGCTATCAATGGCTCTGGACTTCTATGGGACCTGTCTCAATTTCTCTCAGATGCCAACCCAGGTACTGATATTCTGAGGTTCTGAGTTAATCCCATGAGATTATGGAACTTGATCTGTCTCTCTTTCTGAGCACGCATTTTATCTATAGTGGATCATTTGTTAGTTGTTTAACTCAACAAACGTATCTTGAATGTTTAAATATATAGTGAGCCTGTTACACTTGTTGTAGGTACCGTAGTGAACATAACAGAGGAATCATCTATTCTTAAAGAGCTTGTATTTTAGAGGGATAAACTAATAATAGAAATAAAAGAACAATAAATTTTAATTGATCAAAAATGCTCTGAATTTAATAAAATACAATGATTCTCATTAGCATTTACTAATAAGTAGCAGGTTCTCTGACATAACAGCTATTGCTTTGGGGAGTAAATGATAGTTATAAAGTAGAGCTTTTCATAATTTAAGGTATATACAAATTGCCTGGGGTCCTTGTTAAAATACAGATTCTGATTCAGAAGGTCAGAGGTGATGCCATAGATCCTGGTTCTAACAGGCTTCCAGGTTTAATATTCCTTGTCCAGAGAACATACTTTGAGTAGCAAGGTTCTAAAGACATGATAAGGAATTATACTCAGAATGGCAAGCTTGTTCATTGGCCCTACAGCCAATGAGGGGAAGACAGCCTCAGTGTAGACATTGTTCTACATTTACAGGAAATACTGGGTGTCAGAAGGGACTTGAGATTGAGAATAAAAAACATGGAAACTTCTGAAAGAACACGATGCTCATTCAAAAAGCAGAGAGAAATCCAAGTGTATAATCACACCCCATCTAGCTGCAAACATGAAGTCCAGCTCTTTCATTTTTCATATAGTGGTATTTACTGCATTTAGGCTTCATCTTTGTTCTTAAAAATCATAGTTCAGTGTTTAAAAGTGCATGAAATACGACCTTTTTATTCTGCCTACCATACCTCCCTACCTCAACTTTCATATAATATATTGCTTACAAATAGAATTTGGGATTATAAGCGTACAAATGGTCGGCTCACCAATCTCTGCGGGACATATGTAACCATCCTTTGTGACTCTTTTCTTAGCTGTGGGAAACAGCATTAGAGAGGCAGTGAGAAAACACGAATCCTGTGTGTGTGGAGAATGCGGGCCCACAGTGGCTCATCTAGGTACCACTTTACAACTCTCATCATCATATCAGCAGAACCACAACAAGCTCTGTGCAAGCCAAAGGGGAAAGTGCCATTGTAAAACTGAAGACAGCTGCTTCCATAATAGAACTAATTGCACAGTGCATCACAGAACTAAATTAGTAGTGAAAACAGTTATAAAAACCGACAGACAGTGAAACATGACTCACTTAGGAACTGCTGCCAGTCAGGCACATTGTCCTTGGCTACTGCTCAAAAACCCACACCTGCATTTTTTGAATAGTAAACACAGAAGATGTAATTACTAGGAAAACATATGCTACTTTTCCAAAGTGACAACACTGTGTTTTTTTTTTCCCTTGGGACCATGAATGGCATGGAGCTCAACTGACCACAATACTTATTCATTCCCAGGAGTCTTCACAGAAAAACGGAAGCATAAACAAAGTTTACAAGCTCCTCTTTATACATTAGAGGCTATCTTTAGCTTAAACTGTTGGAAAAGATCTGTTTTGCTGACAGAGATTCCTAGATGCCTTCTAGACAATCAATCAAAGAAAAACTAACATTGGAGACATAAGAAATATCAATTCTAAAATACATATATGTCTCAGCTCAGATATTCAAGCTCTAATGAGATGGGGTGTCTTCCCTGCCTCCTCTCTCAGCTATCCAGTAATTGCTGTCTCAATAAAAAACAGATGTTTAGAGAAGGCTTCATCTGTTCCTGTAGCCTGAATATACTTCTATCTCCTCAGCTGCTATCTACTATAGAGAATTTGCAGGTTTCCCATTTAGTACAAATAGTTTCTTGTGCCAGGTACAACCAAATGATGATGCTCTCTCCCTCACACGGGGTAGGTGATTAGCATCGACAGCAAACCAACTCTTTGGCTTCTAACTAACTAGATGTAGGGTAATGACCCCTGAGTAAACCTGCTTTGGACTAGAGAATGACAGTTTATCTTAAAATGACATCTAACACCCTAAAGTGATGTTTTTAAATATTCAAATGTATTGAGCAACATTTATCAGGAAAAAAAAGTTGAATAGAAATTCATGACAAATGACAGAAAACCTGTTTAATGTCCTGGTAAGGATTGTGCCTATGGATTGTTCCAGGTCTAGCTAATGGAACCCTGAAGATGCTGATGAGTTGTAAAATTGTATACTAACTAATCCATCTTTCTCCTGCTCAATTAATTAGTCAAACCTACACACAAATCCAGAAACACATGAGAGAACTTTGCTGGTTTTGTTGATGCATAAAAAGTAGGTACTAAAAATGATCAGTGTTTTCTTCATGTGAAATATGGTGAAGGATTATGTGAATCCATTCAAAGGTCATATTACTTTGTAAGTTCTACAGATGCTGGTGTAAGCAAAAAAGAGGTGAAAATTAGTTTAAGAGTATGAGGTATGTGTATCCAGTTCTAAATAAGGAAACTGTAATTGCTTACTTATCTGCCTCCCCTCGAATGGTGAGTTACTCAAACGCACAAAACATTCATTTTGAATACCCAACATTTGGCAGTATGTGTCCAAAAAAGTCTTGCCATTTGTAGGTTTCTTCTTATCTGAATTATCTTCGTTGGTCTCTCCAAGATTCAACATGATGGATGTACTTGGCTGAAAAGAAACCAGAGCATGATTTTTTCTCCTTAAAGCAAGGTCTGTAAACAGTTTTTTATCCTATAGGCTGATCAAATGATGGGGTGCAAATGTGCAAGTGAATTCGATTATCAGGTCTCATTTATCCTGGGTCATTTCTGAAGGAGGCAGGAAGAGAATCTGTTAGGCTGAAGTTCAGTGATTGCATTGCTAGACCAACCACTGGAATGTAAATAGGACAATTTGAAACCTCCATCTCTCTTTAGCTATAATTGTTGCAAAGTCAAAATATTAAGCTGAAAGATTTAGAGTAGAAAATAAAAGCATTCATCTTATTGTTTGCATTTATCTACATAGGTCATATGTGAATAGCTTTTGGAACACATATTAAATAGACAATATATGTATGCATGGTTTGAAAATAACCAAGATTTATGTCTAAGAAAACTAGATTTTTTTTCTTGAAATATTTACAATTGAAGTATGAAGAACTAAGAAGCAAATATATTTGTCAAGCATTGAAAATTTTTCAGAAATCATGTTATCAGCTTCTTGTTAGCAATATCATAAAACTTGGTTCCAGTCAAGTGCTAACAAATAGTCTTTTATACTGGCAGCACACTAATTCCTCGGTCCTATTTTTTTTTTTTTCCTCATATGGCAATGTTTTAGCAAGTTGTTGAGTTTTACTGCTTCAGCTTTAGGATCTACTACTTCTAAATCCTCAGGAGCTCTGAACAGTTTATGATTTCCTTCATTTAATCTATGTCCCCTGCTACTGCTCTTTAAGTAAAATTAGCAAGAAAATTAGAAAACATTGTGCTAAATTTCAAAATATCAATTTAATGAAAGAACAGTCATAACTCTGCAACTCCCAAAGTGAGGAATCATGTTTTCTTCTAGCTCATAAGTGGAAGGGCCTGGAAATGGGTACATCCTCGTCCTGATTATCCCCAAATCCAAAAGTTCGAGTAGGGTCAGAGAGAATGAGCCAATGATAAATTATGAAATACAGACAGAAAAGGTTCTATGACTAATGTGGAAACTGGGATGGAGCTGGGGATGGGCCTGATCATGCAACAGAATGCCTGAATCAATTCTCTCCACTCTATAGGTCTGTTATCACTGCCTTACAAGAGTGAAGAGAACCTTCTATCTCAAATTAGATCTCTAGCTTGGCCTCTGTCCTCTTCAATGCCACCAGAAGCAATTTTGGCATGTCATCTCCTACTTTAAAATCATCATGATCCACGTTGGAAAACTTCTAAGCCCGTGGGCACAGCACAGGACTGTTCCAGGACTGGGGCAGGCTTTCCCTACCCCAATGCCTAGGACCTCTACACTTCAGCAGATCAGGTCTGCAAGATACTCCTCACACTTGTCCTGCATTTCAGGGTTCTAGGGCTTCTCGGGTTCTCTTCCTGCTTTCCCTAGAAATTCCTCAGGAATCAGTTACTGGTTGAGAGGCACCCCCTTTCCTGTCTGTACTCCCACCCCTCATCTTTTCTCAACTAGTTAACTAAACTCCACCTTGATTATGATGTCTCCATATGGCAAAAGGTCAAGCCATTATACATTCCATTCACATTATTATTACTGCTATTATTGCTATTATTATGAGTTGGTTGTCCTTTTCTAGAACAAGTGTCTTGAGGGCAGGTTTGTTGCTTGGTTTTCCCTATGTCTTCAATCTGCCATGGTGTCTGACACAAGGCAGCTACTCATTACATGTTTAAATACATGAATAAGGTCCTAGCATATCTCCATAGTAATCAATCATCTAAAGGAATAATCTATAGAAAAGTTTAGGTAAATCTTATTTTAGAAACTAAAGCTTACATTTCCTTTCATCAACATGTCATCTAGCTCACAGTGTGTCTTTGTAAAATCTGGCTGTCTGGATATTCAGCTGTTCAATCACATTAACTTTCTTTCTCCAAGATTTTCTTGTTGAACTAACCCATCTTTAGCCCTTTATCCCCTGATTCCTCAATCATCTTAATTATTTGGTACTTGTTTTACCCTTATTTGATTATTTAATTTATGTATTCCAGGTATGTATTATGAAATCTTAAATATTTTTAAAGTAAATCATAAATCTGAGAAAAGAATTTTAAAAATTATGTAAGACTTTATAAAATTGAATTTATTTTCAAGTACATGGAAAATGTGAGCAGTAAAGAAGACAGAGGAAATAGAGTTGAACAGGATGAGGAAAGGGAGGGGAAGGAACATGGAGGTGGAGAGGAGGAAAGCAAAATATTTAATATTCAGAATGTGAATGTTTGCTTTACATGGAGACAGTCAGAGGAGACTATGAAATAAACATGACACAGCAATCAATGTATTAAGCATCTGGTAGATAGGAAATACCTAGAGCTGGAAATATGAAGATGTCTTGATTGTGCAGATTCCAAATAATGAATACAAGGAGATTTATTTCTTTTTCTTTGTCAAACAGCCCACGCCACTACTAGGACTATAGAGTAGTTTTGTTCCATTCATGAAATAATTCAGGTCTTTAAAAAACTGTTTGGTAAGGTTGAATGATTAGGATTTTATGGAGAACTGGTTAAGAGTAAAGGATCATGAATAAATCTTTTAAAAATATGTTAATATTTACCAACATTAAACATTATAGATAGCTTCCTGAACAAAATAGGACTCAGTGCTATTTTAAAAGAATATATTAAGCATCTACAGTGAGAATATAATGATATTATATCTTAACAATGACTTGTTCCTCTATAGCACTTTATACTTACATCATGTTCATCTGATCCTTATAAAATCCTATGAAAAAGGGGAGGGCAGATGTCAGTAATATTTTACAGAGGCAGAAGTATAGTGGTGCTCAATTCCATAGCTGATGTATCAAGATTCTGTTATTGGTAGAAATGACAAAAAAATAGGTTTATTTGTAACTGAAGTATTTCTGTTAAATGTGGAGATTTTGTAATACTAGAAATTAGGAAATATAAGGACAGGCTAGCAAAGATGGCTATGGGATTGTGTTTCCTAAAAGACTAAAAATATAATAGAATCTCATTTAACTGTGGTGGTTTAAAACTGATGAACCTGAAATATGGGAGCTAGGTGTCAATTATTTCCCTGGATTTGTACTATGATGCATAAATCACTATATTTTGGTAAAAGTAGCAAAAAGAATATTAAGAAAATGTTCAAGTTAACATGGATAGAAACTATAAACATAATGTTAAAGACTTAACATTTATTAAAAGAAAATACATATTTTATAAACATTTTACCCATTGATCTAAACAGTAAAAGATAAAATAAAAATTGCCTGTAATTCAACATTCAAAAGAACACAGCAACCTTTTGTTTTTTGAAACATTTCTTTACTGTGATCTCTGAGTTTGTGTGTGAAAGATAAGATGGATGGATGAATGGATGGATAGATGAACAATAGATAGTGAGATAGAAAATCTATCAGGTACATGCTGATTTCTTTTTTACTGCTGTTATTGTTACAATTATTATAGTTTTACAGTATTCAGAATTCTTTAAAATTTTTTTTGTCTTCTTAGTTGTAAATAGATCTTCCTGATGGATTTTAAAATTAGTTTTATGAACTCCAATTTGAAATTTATCAAGATTATATTGAACCCATGAGTTCAGTTGGGAAGAATTTATTCATGAATATACACATGCAAAAAAAAAACTTTATTTCTCATCCTCCACTCCTTACCTTTCTACCTCATTTTAACATTGTATTGTAAGCATTTTTATGTCATAATTGAAAACTTCAAAGGATATAATGTCTCAACAAATTATTCAATCATTTCCAGATTCCTGGAAATTTTAGTTGTAGAATCATTTTGGCATTGTTTTATTTTTTTTTCAATTATAACACCATCATGATCATCTTTGTATACAGATCTTTGTCCACATAAACTAACCTAACTTAATCAAAGGATATTTAAGTTTATGAAGATTCTGATATAGATTAGTCATATTTTCCCCAAAAGGTTTGTAGCAATTTAAACTCTCACAAACCATATATGAAAGCACAGCTCCTGCACCCTCATTAGCATTAAGTATTACCATGTGTGTTTTCTTTAATTTTGCTGAATTCAGAGGTAAAATAATGTTTCCTCATTATTTAAATCAACATATCTTTTATTGGTACTGAAATTAAACTTTCACATTTTTAGTTTCCATTTGCATGTCTTCTATTATGAATCATCAGTTCATGTCCTTTTTTCCAGTTTTAAAAATCAAGCCAATAGGCTTTTCCTATTGATTTACAAAGAAATCTCCATTGGTGAAGTTTAGCTATTCTTGTCATCTTGGTATAAGTATTTCTGAGTAAGTTTGAAGTTTACCTTTTTGTGTATGAGGATTTTTTTCATGTTCAAGAATATTTTATTTTACAAAGGCATAATAATAATCACTTTTATAGATTGCATTTCATTACTTACTTTTATAATTTTATTATTAGAATGTTATTCCACATACTGAAATCAGATAAATGTTTATCTATTTTCAAAAATTTGGTTTTTATATATAATTACTTAATCCACATGAATTTTATATAGATGGATTGTGTTAACTTAGATTTATCTTGATTTATATCTCCCAAATATCCTATTTTTCAACAATCAAATGTAGCCTAACCTATTAATTGCTGAGGTTCTTTGTCATGAGGTTGATTTCAGAATTTAAGCTTCATTCAATTGATCTTTATCATTAATGTAGTTTTACAATGTTCAGAAAAATTTTTCAAATTTTTTCACATATGGTTATAAATATAAACTTCCTAATGAATTTTTAATTACTTTCATAAAATCCAATTGGTGTTTATCAATATTATATTCACTCCATAAATTCATTTGGGAAGAACTTATTTCTTAGCATTTCCCATACTCAATAAGTGTTTATTGAGCACATACCATGAGAGAGGCCCTGACCTGAGTACAATAAAGCTCCTGCCCATGAGGCTTACTTCTGACTTCTCATTCAGGAACACTGAATGCCTCTCAATGCATTATTTTAAAATCATCTTTTATATACTTTAGTAAATTTTTTTTTTCTTGCAGGGAGATAACTTTGTGCATATGGATCCCATCATTTCCAGTTGGTCTATTGTACACTTTGAATCGACCCTTTTTTCATGTCTGATTCTGTAACATCATGCAGTGGTCATTTAGAAAATATCTTGCCGAGTTATACAGACTTCCCTAAAGTTGACACATTTCATAATACAGTATCAACAATCACATTCATTAATATCAACCTAGTCTTATCAGAAAAGCCTTTAAATATTGGGAAGCTGTCAAGCTCCCAGTGGCAGATACAAATTTCCCAAAATTCTAATTTTTGCTTGATAGCTTAAATTTTATTGTTGGCAACAAATACTGTCAGTTGTTTTTCTTGAAGTGACAAGTTCACTTTGTTCGCTTTTGACAAAATGTCTGCCACATTACCAAAGTATGAATAACCATAGTTTGTCAGTCATTCTTTCAAATAAAATGACTTTCAGTGAAAAACAAAACAAAACAGCAAGTTCAACTCTTAACTCAAATACCTGCATACCTGTAGCACAGACGCAATTGTACTTCAGTATGTGCACAGGGCTTTACCCACACCTCCTATTTTATCACCTTCAAGAGTTGAGATGTATCAAAATTTGTAATTGTTACTGCTTCATCAAGGACAGTCTTAAGTGACACTGGGTTATTTTTTTCCTGTGATTGCATGGTCTTTTGTCACTGCCTCAGTTGGACTAAGGTGTTGGCACTTATATTTACCATCAATTTAAACATCAACACAGTAAAAAATGTAGATAATGCCTTGTATTTTAACAGAAAATAGTTTTGACTTTATGAATGCTTTGGAGGATTTAGGGGATCCCCAGCAGACTCCCAAGAACCTTGAAAACTTTAACACCAGGACATCAATAAAGAGAATAAAAGCCTTCTGTCAGTCATGTTAGATAATCAGGGCCTCCTGCCTCTGCTGCCAATGCCTGGAAGTTCCATCTGTAGGTGTGAGAGAATGGAGAAGCTAAGGAAGAAGTAATCTTAAAACATGAAGGTAGGAGAGTCTAATTTTACTAGAGAGAAATTCTATCAATTAATGCAAAAAAAAAAACTAAACAGCTGATAGATCTAGGGTGATTTTGCAGGTGACTGTTCTAAAAGATAGTAGCAAGTAATGGTCATCTTTATACTGCTGCAGATGCTGAGGGGAGCAAACTGCTCTTTGGGGGACATGTGGGAGCTGAGGCCAGCACAGGTCCTGCTGTCCTGGACTATGCACAGAGCTAGCAGTTAATGAGATATTGGGCAGTACTGCATTTTAATGACAAAGGAAGGAGGCGAGCACATCTGAATTGAGAGTGACAGTGTTTAGAATGTGCTTTGGGGTTTCAGCTTGTTTTGCCCTCCGGTTATTTGTGGTATCCATAAGAGTTGTAACCCCCTCTCTGGAAGTAAGAGTTAAAGACAAGTGGATGTTTGAGGAATCCCTTAAAACAAGCGTTCCTGACTGGAGTAAAAGCCATTTCCTGTTAGCAAACATGATTCCAGGGGATGTTAGCCAATAACACCACAGCATCTTCCAGCCAACTGTTTTCATCCTCTTCCTGAATTTTATGAAGAAAAACATCTTCTGGGGGCTGATGTAGAAACAGAAGTGGATGTAAACAAAGTTAAAAAGTCAATTTTTTTCAAGCTGTATCTGTAATAAGCTTTCAGCTGAAATGAAATGTAATTAGCAAGTACGATAATGCAGTTTGCTTCATTTAGCTCTTCAGTGGGTTTATAAACAAATTCTGTCAGTTAACTTGTAAAGCAGATGCATCCACTACACCCTGGCTGAGCACGTTACAGAAGACTCACACAGGTGCAAGATATGCAGCAGGATGACCCTTTCATTGATTCACCAGTCAGCAATGTTGGCAACAATGAACACGCACAATTTTAAAATACTCTCCAGTAAGGAAGGTTAAGAAATAGCTCATTAGAGGGACTAAAACTGAAAATCTGAAAAGCCACACTCAGATTCTTGTAGCAAACATTGTTTATTTTGTAGTGCTCCATGAAGACAGCCTCAGGTGTCATTTGGGGTCCAAGACAACACTGAGTGCTTATTAATCTCACCAAAATATTGGTCATGACTCTGAGGTGAGATCAGGAATTTTTTCCCTAAAGTTTCTGCACTTTTATATTTTACCTATATTACCTTTTTAAATGTAAAAATTAATTTGGAAAATAAATAAAAACAAAACTTTGAGCCCATCACACAAAAGATTTTTTAAAAATATGAATGGATTATTCTTTAAACATGTAATTAGCAAGTTTGGATTTGGGAAAATCAAATCCCACATTCTCTGTGACATATATGCCAAGTTTTAAGTATAGAGCAACACAATCCCCATTTGAAAAAGCTCAGAACCTAGGCAAGACAGACAGAGGGAAAATAACTTAGAGGACCAAGCAGGGACCATGAGATTCCCAAGAAAGGACAGACTAAGTTCCTAGAAGAATTTAAAAAGTCTTCACAGAAAAGTTGATGATGTTTCAATTCAATCTGGTAAAACACTTAATAGGCACAAAACTCTAATGTGATACAAAATACATGTAGGATTTCATTCATAATACACCCTACAGATGCACATAGAAACAGTCAAGTGCCTAGTTTCTTGCCATATTAACTATCAGTAATAATGGGGAAAATGTTCAAAATTTCTTTAACTCTGAAGACCTGTGTGTTCTGAGCCTGATCATGTCTTCTTATTTCAGGGAGTCTACTTTCAAAGATTGATAGGCATATGAACAATTACTGTGCTTTTGCAGTGCAAACCCTTTAGCCTTGATCTCAAGCATATTTTTCCTACCAGGGGATGAATTTTCAT